ACATTTTATAAAATCTTAATGAAATACAAATTTGCATTAATTACATAATTGCGTTTTTTTTTTTTACAAAACCATTAAAATACATAAATACATAAATACAATCATAAGTTATGATTGTTGTTTTATTACATTATGTATTATATCAAATGCCTGCATAGGGTGCCAACTATTGTTTTTACACTGTACAGCATGATCTAATCCTTGTTTAATATTGACTAAATAACATGTAATTCAAATGCTGTTATTATTTTAAAATGCATTTTATAAAATCTTAATGAAATACAAATTTGCATTAATTACATAATTGCGTTTTTTTTTTTTACAAAACCATTAAAATACATAATGTACATAAGTTATGATTGTTGTTTTATTACATTATGTATTATATCAAATGCCTGCATAGGGTGCCAACTATTGTTTTTACACTGTACAGCATGATCTAATCCTTGTTTAATATTGACTAAATAACATGTAATTCAAATGCTGTTAAAATATTTATACTTCAATGTTTGGCCACTACTTTATTATAGAAATGCTACAACTACTGTCATTTCTTGAACAAGAACATGTGGACATCAAAACATGCAAACTCAGAGTGAGGGTTTAAACTTTTATTTTGAAGTCGCGATGAACAGTTAGCATATTTAGAAAGATAATGATGTATTCTCCTGTGTTGGCATAGGTTTATAAATGGTTTACCTTATAAATCTGATAAAATGATGCACAATGTTCCCAGATGAACATTATAAGCAACTTAGACTCAGTATATGCAAAGATGGAGTTTGAGACGATCCGCGCATGTAAGTGATAGCAGTTTGTGTGGAGCAGCATTTACTGTGAACGGAGCCGCTCTGAGATGCACGTAACCTACATGCATAGAAATAAAGTGCATATTAAACCCGCAGCGCATATACAGTATGAATTTCATTGAATCCGCAGCCTTTGTGAATTCACAATAGCACTATGCTTTATTATGATTTTTAAATGGTTTTAATATTTTGTGCAGCCTTAGATAACGGTCTAATAATGCTTTTCATGGAGTCTCGTGCCACTTCCGGAATTTTGCCGGTTAATTGACATAGGCAAAATGCAATCGAGGATTTTTTAATTACCAAGTAGTTGAATTTAATAGAGGAATCGTGACAGCCCTAAAATATAGTATAAATGTGCTGTCATTAGGTTTTAGGAAAGAGGTCCTTGGCATCAAAGACTGAGAATCCATGTCATAGAGACTTTGGGTGATTTTGACCTTCATAACACTGTAGAAACCACATAGCATTGTCATAGAACGCACCCTGCTATCATGGTTGTAAATTTTGCATAATGTAAAAATCTAATATTTTAGCCCACATTAGACACACAGTTTCTTGTTTCTCTCTGAATGTGACGCCTTGAGTGGCTGTTGAAAGTGGTTGGATATGGCTGCTATTCCTGTTATGACTACGCAAATATTTGCAATGCATTTTGCGGGGATATTTTTTTGGGATAGCAGTGATTCAGCTGTTTCTGTAGCCGGACATCTTCTGTGGTAAACATTTACATTGGGAGATAGTGAAGAGAGAGGTGGAGGCCCGAGATAAAAGATGCACGTCAGCACGGCAAAATAAATCTTGTCTTTTTAAGAGCCGGAGAGAAAGGTGGAATTATCAGTCTGTGTGCGTGCAAGTGTGTGTGTGTGTGTTTATCGCGTGAACTGTGGGTGACTGGGATGTGGACAGTCAGGGCAAGAGATGCTCATGTTCCTAATGGCCACACACACATTTGCAGTATCTCTGGGTAAAGCTCATGTGCCTGGAGGAGCATTTGAAGTGCTGAGCCACACCGCTGCCTCTGATTGGCTGGGGGAGGATGCAAGAAAAGGAGCCAGGCTCCGCCTCCTACCCCCCTCCTGTACGTGTTAGAAAGGAGATAGCTTGAGGAGAGCCGACAGCTTCACTGCACCGAACGCACACTAGTGCTGCATACTCCAGGAAGATCAGTCGACGCAGAACGTTCTCCAGCTGAAGAACCCAAAACCAACCCTGACTGGAGCAAGAACCCGTCCTGCATTCGCTGCAGTTTAAATATTGTTTAAGAGCACTCTGCACTCTGAGTTTAGCTCATCGTCCGCAGTCTCAGCACTACAGCATCCTCTCCATTCGGCCCGGCTGTAAACATGGGCAGGCAAAGCCACGATGCCACATCCACCACGGGCACAGGTGCAGGCAGCACCGGCGGCCGCATGCAGCGCTCCCAGAGCCGAATGAGTCTGTCGGCTTCGTTCGAAGCGCTGGCCGTCTACTTCCCCTGCATGAATTCTTTCGATGAGGAGGATGGAGGTAAGATGTGTCACATGTGGAGATGTCCAAATGAGCATCTTGCATGTCAAAGTTCATGCGTTTTGCAGGATATTTGGTTTTATAGAGCATACCAACTGTTTCATTCAAGTTTATTTTGGTTCATGGTCATTTATGGTTTCTGGTGGAGTTTACATAAATGATGAGCAGAATTGTGCATGGCTGTCAGGAAAAGAGTTATTCTTGTGCATAAATTGCTGTGACGGTTTTATAGCACTTAATAGTCGTGCAGTGTGTTTTGGTGGGACTCAAGCATCGTCATGTGTTATGACCTTGAAGGTGTTTGATTTCCTTTCTCTACAGCATCTCTCTCTTTCTCCCCCTTCATTCACTATAGAGGTTAATATCATTGGAAATATCAGATGACTTTTCATATCTTGCAGAACAAATACCTTTTGTGTGATGTGTAGGTGCAACCAGATTTTAGTTAATACATTAATATATTCATCACTGAGTGAATCTCATAAGATGTCCAGGTCACATTTCACCCCCATTTTTTATTTTATTTTATTTTAATAAATAAAACGAAGGATATAGATTTTTTTCATTACAATTAAGCACATTTCTCCCAAATTGTCAATACCATAATGAATCCAGAAATTGTACTTTGATGGTTATTGTTATTGTACTACAAGAATAATACTGTAATACAGTGTTTTTTTTAACCAGCATAAATCAAAGGCAGTGCAACACAACTACTATCATAATGTATATATACTTTACAATTTAATATAGGAGTATTTTAATTTATTAATACGTTTATTTATTTAAAATGACAATTTTGGGGGAGAAATGTGCTTAATTGTCATCAAGATCACAGTGTCACACCATTTAATAGCGACAGTCTATGCAAAAAGTTTAATTGTCATTATTTACTCACCCTCATGTTGTTCCGAACGTGTATGACTGACTTTCTTTTGTGGAACACAAAGGAAGATATTTTGAAGAATATTGGTAACCAAACAGATTTTGTTCCCATTGACTTCTATTATATGGACAAAAAGTACAATGGAAGTCAAGGGGAACTGAAACTCTTTGGTTACCAACATTCTTCAAAATATCTACTTTTGTTTTCTGCAGAAAAAAAGAAAGTCATACAGGTTGGGAACGACGACATGAGGGAGAGTAAATGATGACAGTATTTTCATTTTTGGGTGGACTGTCGGTTTAAGGGATGGTTGAATTGAGTCTTCTGACATTGTGCATCGTTGTTTCTCAGGTTTATCTCGGTCAAGTTCAACAAGACCTCAACCGTTAGGAGTTCTTGATTATTATATACAACTGTGCTGTTAGTACAGAAAAGGACAGTCACATCCGCCGCTATGTTCGTCATCCTCTTGTGTTCAGCTACGTCTCAGGGCCGAAAGCAGAGGCGGATGACATTGAATGAAAAGAAAATCAAGCCTGCCGTGTGTGAGCTGTGATTGAATGGTTTAATCTCAGCCATGTATGCTTCCTGTAGCCAGCCTTCTCTCTCCTACCTATTGAAAATGGGTTCTGCATTCTAAATAGCCCTCACATTACTGCATCATCCTCATCATTTTTGCATATTAGGCAGTAAAATAACAGGATGTGCATCAATTTTGGACATCAAGTTAAAGCAATAAGCAACCAGAGAACCTGTTTAACAGCTTAACAGCGATTTTAGCCTCAAGTGACATATTGCTTGGGTAAAATTGTGCAATGAATCATAATAATGGGAATAAACTACTGTTTTGCAAAGTAATATAGTCATTACTCTAACTGTAGGTGGTTTACAGGTGGCAGGAAACATTGCAACTTAGGACATTAATAAAGAATCTGGGGTGTGCTTTCTTTTTCTACATATGCAATAAGATTTTTGTTATAGTTAGCTGTCAAATCTAAATAAGGCATAAAACAATCAAAATACAAATGAAAAATGCAAACATATTTCAAAAATGTTTTTTTGTTATGGTATCTTTAGCATACATTGGGAAGCCTTGTATAATTAAAAAGATAAGTAATTAAAGATAAAATATGTAATAGCTGCTCCACTAGCAGCACCAGACAAAACTGCAGACAGAAATAATGATTATTTCTAAACAAGTTTCCCAAACTCTTGACAAATAGGTAGTCCTGTTTCAAAATAACCCTGCTGATTGAGCTGAAATGTCAAAGTGTTTACAATCCTTAGGAAGTCAAACTAAGAATGTCTTTCTTAAACTTTATGCATGTTAAATTGATATATATTTTAACATTAAATACATTACACACATCACTGTTTAAAATGAAAGTCAAAAGGCTGGTTATTGCATTTAACACGCACTGCTTCTTTCTTTATGACGGTTGTGAATTGTTCAGCTCAGAGGATGCTGACACAGGTTGAGGTGTTTGGTCATGCCTAATTGTGGTTCAGTGCACCTGCGTAACCCGTCATGTCAAATCACCCTGCATCTCATGTAACTGACACTATGGCATGTCTGTAGCCCAGATATAGAAACAGAAAAACTGCACTGTATCAAAAACAAAAATTGTTGAATTCGGCCCATCCTGTGGGAGCAGAACCACGTGTGTCTGGATCAACAACACATCAGCTGTCACATCTGAGCCGCGTGTTGGGCGATGTGCAGAAAAGTGACCTTCATCACTCTGCTTGAGACATCTTGATATCCTGACTGACGAACTGTCTCTCTGTCTCTGTAGAAGCAGGAGGAAAGAAGCTGCGCAGCACTATCCAGAGGAGCACAGAGACGGGACTGGCCGTAGAGATGAGAAGCAGAATGACCCGGCAGGCCAGCCGCGAATCCACTGACGGCAGCATGAACAGCTACAGCTCAGAGGGAAAGTGAGTAACAAAACGAAAGGTTTTACAGGTAAAATGTCGTCACTAATGGTTTTATTTACCAGTTTTAGGTCATTATTAGGTCACTGTGCACAGATGCAATACCTTTATCAACTAGTTTGTAGTAATAGTCGACAAATAAATTTGAATAGCCTACAATTTAATTGAATTTAATAACATATATATATATATATTTAAATTGTAAAATATTTATATAAATTGTATATATAATATATACATGTATATGTGTGTATAAATGTAAAATTATATTAAATATTGTTTTATTTATTGAAAAAATATATTTTTTATGTATAAAGCCATGTCATATATAATACAGTTTAATGACTGAATAAATGATATGAGCATAATAACATAAGGTAATACATTTAAATTAATTTAAATCAAAACCTTTTTTACAATATATTGACTTAACTTTTACATTTTTTATTATGAGGCATAGCCTTGGTCTATCTCTAATTTAGAGTAATTTTTTGTCTTTTTTTTGTGAGTGTGACTTGATATTGATGACATAAGGTAATACATTTAAATTAATTTAAATCAAAACCTTTTTTACAATATATTGACTTAGCTTTTACATTTTTTATTATGAGGCATGGCCTTGGTCTATCTCTAATTTAGAGTAATTTTTTGTCTTTTTTTTTGTGAGTGTGACTTGATATTGATGACCGTTTATTCTCTTCCAATCATAGATCATTGTGTGGGGAGACTATGGACGTATGGACCACAAATCCTTCATGGGAGCCGCTCAGATACTTTTAGATGATCTGGACATGTCCAACATGGTTATTGGCTGGTTCAAGCTTTTTCCTCCCTCTTCATTGGTTGACCCAACCTTGGCCCCGTTGACCAGAAGAGCTTCCCAGTCATCTCTCGACAGCGGGTCTGGGCCGTTCGGACGCTCGTAGCAGTTTCCTGAAATCTAGCGTTATTGTAGCAGCCAATGGGTGGAGTTTGAGATTTGCGACAGGTCCCGTCCCCCCGGTAACACTGCATGCTTGATGTTGTGTGTTCAGAGCTTGTTTCTTAGGGGTGAAAAAAGCGGTCCTGATTTTGCATCGCAAAAAAATGCCACACACATTGTGTGCAAAGAGCAACCCCTAGAGGGCAGGGACGAGACGAAGCCGGAAAATGGCCTCCTTAGCTTGAGGAACGTCACAATTCCTGCTTTTAAAACCTATTTAAAGCCATTTGAGATGAGTCTGAACTGAGAACTGACAAGTCGAGTTCTTCAGAAGCCCTTTTTGAAATGGGGTGAAATGTTCTCTTCAACTTTCTTTTCTTTTAATGTTGATGTATTTGTATCTACATGGGTTAACAGTGTTCCTTGGGTCAAGCCATGCCAACAGACCCATAAATGTACACACAAAACAAGAATATGAAGTGGGAATGAGCGCCTCACTCCCCAGTCAATAGAGAGATGAAATGTAGGTTTGAATCATCTTTTAAGATCAAATTGAAGTACTTCTCTTGATACCGTATGAGACCTAAAGAAGAAATATGTTTTTTGTTGCATGGACACAACTTTAGCTGAACTTTAAAAAAAAAAAAAAAGTGGATAATAGGTTTGAATCATCTTTTAAGATCAAATTGAAGTACTTCTCTTGATACCGTATGAGACCTAAAGAAGAAATATGTTTTTTGTTGCATGGACACAACTTTAGCTGAACTTTAAAAAAAAAAAAGGGGATAAAAAAAACTCAGACTGCTACTTGCAAAAAAAGATGACAAGAAAAACGAATCAGATCAGCCATTTTCAACAGTTTCTATTATTTTTAAAAAAAAATTTCACTAGTGCATGATTTTCATGGGGAGTGAATGCTACCATGTGATTTGAAAAAAACATTCCGAATGGACATTCCACCTTGTAAAATCATACTTTGTTGACAAATTTAAGGGAAAAACGTGACCAGGGATTTTTATATCTTTACGGAAATATGAGCTGCAGTATTCCTGACAAAAGAGCCTAAAATTTCACGAGATCTTTTTACCGGAGACGGCTGCAGCTCACTGAATTTCGCAGTATTGTGCTGTACAGTTTTCCGAGCATGATGCTGTCTGCAGAGAAATGCACATTGGGACGATGATATTGCCACACAATATAACTTTGGTTTTTATTTCTTCGTTTCAAGAAAGCAAGTCATTTAATATATTTTTGTTCGTTTATTTACAAGCCAAGACCTATTTATTTTTTATTTTCTATTTTTTTAGTAATAATCAGGGCTTCTTATATCTGAGAAGTTTATGAATCATAGTTTTAATGCCTGAATGGAAATATACACTGAGACATTATACCTCTTCCTTTGAAAATAAACTTTTCTGATTAACCAATATGATTTTTTTTTTTTACTTATCAAGCTTTCAGTCTACTTATGATTTCTGTGTACGTCTGTCACAATCTACAGAATTTGTATAGAAATCTCTATTAAAGCAAACTCTCTAGATATCGTCAAATCTTATGGAAGTGGGATAATGTCTCATGATGTCAAAGGTATGTTCTGTTCTATTTCAAATGCCTTCTGTATTTCTTTTTTTTTTTCTTTCTTTTTCTTTTGGTGCAATGTGTTCATGCCAAGGCTATGTCTTGGTCAAGTATGGTTGAGTACAGAGATTTATGTAAGTTATTTTTCAAATTAAAAAATAAAAAATGGATATTACACTGGAAAATGAGCGTTCGCAAACAAAAGCAATACGTCTCTAATGTTTCTTGACATGACATGAAAAACAATACAACATATAGTACTCACACATGCATACAGCTTTAGCCTAACTTAAAAAGAGTAGAAAATAAATAATTAGAGAAAAAGAAAAAAAAAATCTTCATTATATATTGTAGCATATATCCATGGTAAATGGCAATGTACATTGTGTATACAAACATATATATGTACTAGTTGATAGTTTCAGAATTCTTAATAATAATAATAATAATTGTTTTAAGTTATTTATGTATTTATTATATCATAAATGTAGTGCTATAATTTTGTCCTAGGAAAATTTGTTTTGTTTTCCTACGTTATCAAAATGATCAAGATACAGTGACATGCGAAAGTTTGGGAAGCCCTTGCAGAATATGTGAATAATTGTAACAAAATAAGAGAGATCATACAAAATGCATGTTATTTTTTATTTAGTACTGTCCTGAGTAAGATATTTTACATAAAAGATGTTTACATATAGTCCACAAGACAAAAAAATAGCTGAAACTATTAAAATAACCCCATTCAAAAGTTTGGGAACCCTTGGTTCTTAATACTGTGTGTGGTTACCTGGATGATCCACGACTGTGTTTTGTTTTGTGATGGTTGTTCATGAGTCCCTTGTTTGTTCTGAACAGTTAAACTGAGCACTGTTCTTCAGAAAAATCCTCTGTGTCCTGCAGATTCTTCAGTTTTCCAGCATATTTTGCATATTTGACCCCTTTCCAGCAGTGACTGTATGATTTTGAGATCCATCTTTTCACACTGAGGACAGGTACTCAGACACAACTATTAAAAAAGGTTCAAACATTCACTGATGCTCCAGAAGGAAAAACCATGCATTAAGAGGGGGGTGAAAACATTTGAACAGGATGAGGATGTCCAAATTTTTCCTATTTTGTTGAAATATCTTTTTTTTTTTCCATTTAGTACTGGCCTTCGAAAGCAACAGAAGACACTTGCATGTTTCCCGGAAGACAAAT